TCAATCATAACTTAAAAGGTCTTTTGGTAAAGATTTTTGGAGTTTTGATATATTTGATCATAGTATCTGCAAAAGTGATGATTTGAATTTCACTTTCTCAGTTTGGATGTCTTTTCTTCCTTTCTCTTGCCTGATTGCTTTGATGAGGACTTCCTGTACTATGCTGAATAAAAGCCGTGAAAATTACCATTCTTTTCTTGTTCAGAAAGCTTTTAACATTTCTATATTAAATATGATACTAGCTTTTTGATTCTGTAAGTGATCTTTAAATTCAGATATAGTGCTTTTTTTTCTAATAAGTTCAACTTTTTTCATGAATTGACATTACATTTTATTAGGTGCCTTTTGTGCATCTGTTGATAACGTATCCTTTTTCTTTCATGCTATTGATATAATATACTTCCATAATTAATGTGACTATTTGAACCATCCTTGAATTCTTTTTTATGAATTCACTTTTTTGATCAAAAATTATTATAATTTGTTGATTTATCAAGTTTGATATCATTTTAATGTAACTACAACACTGTTCATGAAGATAATTGCTTGTCATTTCCCCCCTAGTGTCTTTACCTGGCTTAGTTAAATATATTTGTAAAAATTCCATTGTCATTATTTATTTACTTTTAGAATAACGTTAATGAATTTTAATGAATATTAGTTCTTTTTATTAAGAATCAAATTTAAAGTAATCTCTTTACCACTAAGCATTTCTTTGCAAACTAGTATTTTTATTTGTATTTCTCATTAATATAAATAATGCTGAGAAATGTGGTCTGTATTTGTCAAAATTAAGGAATGATTTATCCATTGTAAATGAAGTATGTTATTATAGTGAATTGGAATATATTTCAATATAGTACTAGAATTTTTGCATATATAGAATCATATTTTTATCTGTTCAGAAACTTTATTGGAGGTTTCTTTTTTAATTTCTTTTTTATTTTATTTATTTGAATTACAAACAAGATTGATATATTTGAAATAGTTTACACTATCAATTGTATTTTAAAGTATTTGTTCATTGGCTCTGCATTGTTCTTACTTACAGATGGATGTGTTTTGAAGCTGCAAGTATGAAGTTTCACTGCTTAGGTCAGAGGAGTGTGTGATGATTTCAGTTTTTCTCGGGTTCACAAAGATATTGCTAGTAACACCTTTGTTCTGTAAAGATTTTGTTTAGAAAATATTGCTATCTTAGCAATTGTTTTCCTCAAATTTTATTTTGTATTATTTTTCCTAGTATGCTCATGTAAATAGTAGTATTTTAACATTTTCTATACATTTTCCAAATGTTTTTATTTTATTTTGTCCGATTTTAAGATTTTTGTTAATAGAGTTAAGCTATTTTAATTTATTATGGTTTCTAGCACATTAGAATTTTGGTTAATTTGGAAGGTTGCTTCTTTTTCTCCTTGTATTTAGTCATCTTCTAGTTCTGTCATTATGGGAGTGTGAATAACACAGCTCATGTACATATTTGATCACTCTCTGTCCCCGGATGTTCCCAGTTGTCAATTCCCATGAAAATTTCCTTGCATAAAGAGTTCCTACTATGGAAATCAGATGGCTGCACCTAAGGTTACTGAATTATACTTGCTTTCCTTTCATCTCCTTCTTATCTCTTTGCAGGGAAGATCAAAGAAAACCAGGGGAGTCCTTTCTCTTCTGCACCTACAGTCACCTCAGGAAAGGCTTTCTTTGAAGTTAGTCACTTGGAATCTTTGCTTTATTCTATATGGTCCTCTTTTAGTAATGCATGTATTTTATAATTTTTGCCATCACATAAGGGAATGGATGTGCACATTTTTTTTTTTAACTTCAGTTCAGGAATGAAGCAAATCATTTGGTACTTCTTCACATCATCCCGCAGCCTTAAAACTAGCATTTTTAATAGAATGATTACACAGTTTATGTTGAAAATTGCTTTTCTACATTATAATATTCCAACACATACAATGCAAAAAGAATATCATATATTTTATGCTGTAATATAATATGCTTCTCAACACATGATCATTCTCAAATATCATCATGTTTTCACATACACTTTTTAAATGCCCAAGCATATATAAATATAAGAAAACACATGACTTTAAAATTATGTATAACAATTATAGTATATAACAGTAGTAGCCTATCTGTAGGTAAGAAGATACAAAGCATTATCATCATTGAATTGTCTTGTAATTATTAATGATAATGAAGTTTGAAATGTTCAGTCAGAGATCAATGTTAGGTAGGTGACACAGCTCACTTTTATAACAGGAACCTTTGCGACTCTGAACCTCAGAACAGTCTCATAGAGCTAATTGTCAGCCTGTAAGAGCAGCTGCTGGAAATCCATGTATAGCATCCAAATTGTGTAAGTAAATGGTTTTGATTAGTAATGACTTAGAGTTGAAATGTTAGAACATCCCTAATGATTAAGAATAGACTACATTATTTGAATCTCTCCTTGTCAGATATTAATCCTATGTCATCCCTGATAATGCTTACTGTGACATTAGCGGGTAGTAGTGACAATGATAGCCTACAATTTTGATGTTAGTTACAATTCATCATCTACTCTGCTTAGTACTGTGTGTGCACAGAATCATAATTACTAATGAACAGCTTTATAAGTATTCCAAGTAGTCAATAGGAGACCTGAGGGAAATGAAATGATCATATATGAATATGGAATTAAAATAGTGGGCAGAGAGGTAAGGGCAGAAAATAACTTCATGTCAACTATAGCCTGTATGCCAGATATAATTACATTTTAATTATAATAATATTATTATATTTCTAGATAACATTGTATTTTAATAATACATATTATTGCTATTTCAATAATAATAAAATCCTTATTATTTTACTGTGACACAATATCTTAATTGGATAAATTAGCCAACTGGCAGAACTTGATTAAGTCCACAGAATACCTGTTCCATTAGGAATTATCCTCTGATTAGTGTGCTAAGCCAGTCCCTGCAAGCAGGTTTAGGCTTTGCAGAAATTTTAGGAGTGTAGGGATGGGAGTGCTAAGGCTCCAAAAGAAATTCACAAGAAAGATGCTGAGAGCATGCTGGATGGAATACAGGGTCCCTACTCTGTATCCGTGGCATTTCTACAGTTGGATATTCTGTCTTTGGGTTTTGCTCTTTCAAGAGTGACTGTGTTCTCCTTGGAACTCTGTCTGCAAAAAGTGTGGGAATGGCTGTGGTGTGAGCTTTTGTTGCTCTGCCCGCTAGCAATGTAAAAAAAGCTAGGAATTTACCTCTTGTGAGTTACAACTTCTTAGGAATTAATCAATAAAACAAGGATCTGAGAAAACAGTGAATGAGTATGTCTGTTCTCAAGCCCATCTCTTTTTATCAGATTACATTTCCCAAGACAAATTCAAATGAAGTCTGATTTGGCAGCACAGAAATGGTATTGCAGACATCTGTCAAACATTCTAAGTCAGGTACTGAGGAAAGGGATGACTAGGAAGGTGCTAAAAACTGTCCCTTCTTTTACACAACATTTTGGTGTCCAGATAGCCAAGTATTAGAACATCCTACACAAAATCACCGAGTGTTTTCATGCCATCCAAGTATGTGCTATCAGGACAGATGGAAAAGATAATGAGAACTGCTTAACAGCAAAGAATCCTAACACAGCGAACGGGACCGTCATTATGAGAAAGTCTGCCCTCAGGAGTTGGCTGTCTTGGGTGACAAACTGACCTGAGATTCAGGAGCAAAACTCCACACTCTAATCAAAGGTGTTAGAAGCTTTGCAAATAAAAGACTCACCACAGAGTTTAGAGAGACTGGGATTCCTGTAACTGAGCATGATGGATACCTGCATTGATCTTGTTTCTGTTTTTTAAAACTGAGGCTTTATTTGACTGGTGCTACAGAGTTTGTTCCAAGAGCCATTTGCTGGACCAAGTTCTTTCTGACTAGCCCGATAGTGTGCCTGAAATACCCTTCTCTCTCCTCCTGCCTCCCTCACTGTAGCCACAATAGGTCATGTACTCCCAGTGCATGATCATGCTTTCCAATATCAATCAATCAGCTCAAGAATAATACACTTTAGTGTCATTCCAAACCACTTCAGACCTGCCCCAGTGACCTCAGGAGCAGATACACACAATGTGGGGTAGCTCCTATGTCTTGAGGCTACTGCAGTTGTTTACACTGCCAATCCTAAGACTTTTTAGATGCCTCACCATTGCATTGCCTCTGAAATCATAATGGGGTCCAGTTCTCTCTGGTGGCCAGCTCTAGCCTTCCCCATGTGGGCCCTGGACATATCATATGATCCCTCTTCTCAGTAATACATTCAAATCTCTTGATCTCTAGCAGACAAATTTTCTCAGGTACTATTTACTATATTTTTAAAGGCAGATTCAGGTACTAGATACTATATAGATGCCTTTGTAAGTGAAACAAAAGTGAGTCCGAGAAATGAAGTTGTATATCCCAGCATTGCTTCAGGAATCAATTTCCTGTCTCTGGTGCCTATCAGTGATAAGAGCCAAAGTATGAGTGTCAAAAGAACATTATCTTGGAATGAGCTGGGGAGCAGTTGGACCCTTAAAGTGTAGGTCTCACCTTATGAGTAATTCATAGAACTGATGACTAGGCAGATAGGATGGGCCTGACTCTGAGTGATTCCCATGATGTCGGGAACAGCGGAAAGATCTTCACAGGTTACCTGGCTTTCAGTTCAGTTTCCACCCCATCTAGGAGTCACTAATGTGAGCCTGAGCCAGTTCTCTGCCTGGTCTGCCTATTGATTTATCTCTCATAGAGAATAAATAGTAAGAACTAGAAGACCTCCAAATTAATCACAACATTCATCTTTTTCTTTTAGTAAATCATAGCAAAATATTATACTGATTAAAATGATTGTTGGAGTACACTTTTATATTTATGGTGTAGTTTTCCCCAGTGATGTCAGAAAAAGAAGAAATGACTTCCCAATCCCAAAGGAAAACCACAGAGAAGAAACACAAACACACTTACTGTGGCCTGATGTTTCTCTGCTTTTTCAGATGTCTCTCTAAGCTGATTCTGCAGGGCCTCCTGGAGAGACTTCATTTCTTCCCTAGGTTAGTAGAAAAAAGAACAAAGAAGAGATATCACACGACTCTGCTATTTCCAGGAACTTGACTAAAAAAGTTTGTCTATCCATCTAAGTGTAAAGAGCAGCTAACCATAATTATGAAAAGTTACAGCAATACAAAAGGATGCATCTAAATACACTGATAATAAAGGGCTTTCTTTTCATGCACATGCATAAAGCAGGTTATAGTTAAGGGAAATTGTCTTGTTATTATGTTTTATAAGAATCTCACAGTGTGAGTCACTGTGAACAATGAAATGTGTTCAATCAACTCAATATACCAACTGGAGTTGGAAAGCTAATTTCACTGACAGCATATAGGGTGTGAACATGCTGGGTCAAAAGTCATTATAGATGTCTGAAATTATTGTAACCTTCTTAATTGCTCTGTATTGTGGCTTAGATATACTTTATGAGGCCTGAGAATTTTTCATCAAAACACAAAGAAAAGAGATTTAGTTCTAATTATAGTTAAAGTGGCACAGGAAAGAAAATAGATGACTATAAATGCATGGACATTGTGTCCCAAAATCATAAATATTCATGGGTTATATCTTGTGTTGTGGGGGAGGGTTGGAGAAAAACAAATACTACATTGTCACTCATATCCACAATGTAAGTCAAGAAAAGTTCTCAGTGTGAGGGTTATTGGAGTGAAAAATGAAAATAATACAGTGAATATGCATGAAATATGATGTGTGTGCATGTATGTTCGTGTGTGTGTGCATGTGTGTGTACATGTTTGTGAACGTCATGATGAAAACCATTATTTTATGTGCTAACTTACAACACAAGTTTCCTCTTAAGGATTTAGAATTTGTGCATGTAGGATTAATGATATTTATTTGCTTTTACCACCCAAACTATACTATTACCTCAAAATAATAGATTATAAGAGTTAGTGTGTGTGCATAAGCACATGTGTGTGTAATAGAGTACACATATATGATATATGACTATGCCTAAAGAAGTTGACCCAAAGAGCAACAGCAACAAGGCAGAGTACTGTTCTATTCCATGAGAATCAAAACTAGTTTAAATTAGGCATCAATTGCTGGAAAACTAGCTCTGATAATTTGGGTAAATAATAAAATTTCCACCTTATAAATTTCTCCATTTAAAACTGGGTGCAGTAATATAGACACTTTGTAGGCTTGTAGCAAGGTTTAAATGACATAATAAAATGTTTAGCACCAAACCTAGAAATGGAAGTTACTTTTTGTACAATAATTAAAAGACCCAACCCCATAGAGGCCTCAAGTATATTCTTTGAGCAGGATGTCCTACAAAATGTGGTGCTGCTCTTTGTTCTTCCCTCTATCAGGATACTCTGTGCTCTGGATTTCTACACTAGGTACTGTAATCACCAAAAGTTAATTTTCAGGGGAGACAGGCAAACAGACAGACAGACAGACAGACAGACAGACAGACAGACAGACAGACACACACACACACACACGGAGAGAGAGAGAGAGAGAGAGAGAGAGAGAGAGAGAGAGAGAGAGAGAGAGAGAGAGAGAGAGAGAGAGAGTGAGAATTTTGTAGAGAGAGAGAGAGAGAGAGAGAGAGAGAGAGAGAGAGAATGAGAATTTTGGAATCATTGTGGTCCTGGACAAACCCATACTACATGGTTGAAAGCTAAATTTCAACTTTCATGGGGGGTTTTCATATATGGACTCTTAAATATGGAATACCAGATTTTTTTCAAGAGCTTTTGTGACATAATAATTACATAAGGGTATAATATATAAATGCTAATACAATATAAAAGAAAATAAAAGATGACTGTATACAATAGACACATATGTTATCTATCAAATGAAAATATGATATCTGTGTCTCATAGAAAACTGATGCATATAGGGACACCTGCAGGAAGGCATTATACTACTTCTATTAAGTGGGGGGAGAAGAAAGGAAGGGTGCCAGAAGAAAGGAAAGAAACACTTTTCTGCAAGTACAGGTTGAAGTATGAGTTATACATTCAACAAAAAAGTTAAAATAATTTAACGATAGCTAGAGCTTTCATTCTAGATTTTATATGTAGACTACATATTACTAGTTTAAAACTAGTAAATAGTAGATCTAATAAGATTATATTATAAGTACAAGGCAATAAAAATCCCATATTCTGATATCCAAATGCAATCAGGGAACAAAACAAAACAATCAGTAATATATTAGTAAAAATTGGAGGAAGGGCTTGGAGGAAAGACTCAGTAATTTAAAGCATTTGTTCTTCTTGCAGAAGGATCCAGGTCCAGTTCCCAGCACTGTAACTCAAGATCCAGTTGCCATTTCTTAATTCTATGAAAACCACACATGCATGTGGTACATATACAAACACTCAACAAAACACTTTGCATTAAAAGAAAATACATGCATATAAATATAAATAAATACATTTTATGATAGTGGAATTTTATAAATACCTATATTGAATAGAGCTACTAAGCAGGACAACCAGCTTGGCCTTACAGCTATTAACCACCCCCCAGCACATTTGTTTCTGTCTTACATACATGCTTTGGAACCTGCCTTCCAGACTCACAATTTTTAGGAGAGATGATCTTCGGCATGCTTGCTTCAACACCACACCCCACTTGAGGAAGATTTGACTATACAATTAGGGCCGGCTGCTTCAAAGCCTCTTTGGTGCAGAGGTGAATCTCTAGTTCTAAGATTGGGCAGCCCCAGTGACAGGGTGACATTGCACACATGCTTGCTAGCTTAGTATAGGTTTTCGTATTGGGCAAGCATTGGGCAGCTAATTTGTGTGTTTTTCGTCACTATTTTTCTGTCAGGAAGGCATGAATTTCAGATGGTGATGAGCTGATATATCAGTCAGTAACTTATAGAGTAAGAGCTTGCCACTCTCCCAAGCTTCCTCCTTGTTCCCAGAGAACATGTCAATGGTCAATACTCTTACAGTGCTCTAAGTCAGTTTGCCTTTCTAATTTTCTAACTGCTCCTCCATCCACCAGAGAGAACAAATCATCCTTTCCCATTTACTCTTAAGACACTTCAAGACAACCTCAGGTTGATTTTTCTGCTTACAGCTCCTTAGTAATGAAGTGTTCTTTAATGTCCCACTATTGACCTAACTAACAGTCCTCTGTTAATATTACCCAGGCTACAATATATTATGAGCATGTTCTATTCAATAGTCAAAATAAAGCATTAAAAATCCCCTATCATCTGTCTACTAATGTAATTATCAGATACTTATCAGCTATTTATAATCTATTATTTTCCATCTCTTTCACACACATATATACACCCATATTTCTCTCATTAGAAGTGAGCCACCTACTTATCTTTTCACATAGTTGTATATGGATCTCTCATATCCTTTAGATTTACTTAAAAATTTGTCTCCAGATACACAGAGATACTTTATAAGTTTGCTATTTGTTCATGAAGGGAATTCTAGTTCATTCAATTTTGTTTTGAAAAAGTTACCTAGAGCCATGACTAAAATTTACTGAGATTTTTAATGCTGATTTAATGGTAACCCAAAAATGAGTTATTTATTTTCAACAAGTTTTTTCATTTTGTATACAACTCTGAAATTCCAGTGCCAATACATCTGCTTTCTTTCACTTTTTTGTTGGAACAGATGTTCAGTCCTTTGAGAATTTGTGTGTGAAGTTGAAGTGTAGATGATTACTTAAATGTATTTACAGACTTAATGCCATTCTCCTGAGTGACCTAAGGGTTTTTCATGTTATTATAAGCAGACACAGTTACCTGAGCAATACAGTTATAGCAATAGCGTAGGCTTTTCTTCATCTTTGTCACACCACAGGTACCACACCTATACCATCCTGTGGAAGGCTGAACTTTCTGAAACAATATGATTCTAATAAAAATGTATCTTCCTTACCTAGTCTTCCTGTCCTCTTGAGACCACGGGTTCCTAACTGTCTACATCTCCTTTTCATCCTAAATAGAGCTGGCAAAACAATTCTTCTGAATTAACTACTACACTTGCTGCAGAGCTGCCTACTGTGAAGTCTCAAGGCTTGACACCAAGGTCCTCCCCTGGAACACCCTTTAGAAGATTTGCCTCACACTCAGTTCTTCCAGCTTCCTCAATCCCTGGCAACCAGCTTGACTTATGCAGATATAATTTTTGTGTTTTATTCCTGTTATGTTTTTCTTCTTCATTTGCTTTATTTGAAATGGAATCATTTGTTAAAGAAATAATTTCCACGAATCTTACTTTATTTTAGTCAATAATTACTCCTATTGTTCATATATTTTCCTAGAAAAAATACATTATTAAGTTGTTACCATGTTGCTCAGTAGATATCCCAAACTTCTCCCTTTTAACTGAAATCTTGTATTTTTTTTCATCAATTCCTACAAATCCCAAACCTTCAAACCCCCCCCAGTAGAAAGGGGGACTATTAAACTCATATTTCTAAGAGGTCAATATTTTTAGATTCCTTCAAATGTGGCCCACCTTTTTTTTTTACAATCATTAAAATAATTAGCTTTGCTTTGCTTTGCAAATTAGGAACCCCAAACACACAGAAGTAAAACAAAACAAAACAAAACAAAAACTGGCTTAAACATTAACTAGACAGTAGGTGGCTAAGGGGCTGCCATGCCTGAAGCTCACTGGTGTTGCTAATGTAGATCACGAAAAAGACAAGTAAAGAGATAGCAAATTATTTTAGCATTAGTATCTAATAGCTAAAAGCTAAAACGCATCATTGTAAACAATGAAGATTAGTGCATGACACTGATATCTAAACCACATTGGTGAGCTGACCTGAAAGCATGTCAATGTCAATATGTGAGGTCGCAGTGGAGACCCAGGTTGATGACAGAACTGAGAATCAACTCCTCATCTGTTACTTGATATGTATAATGTTTTTGAACAGCATTTTTTGCCTGCTGATCAAAGAACTAGCATAGAATGATGTGGGCATTGAATTTGACTGTTTAAAACAGTTTCTTTGTGCAAAGATCTACAAGCAACCCCAACTACAATCTAAGCAATAGTTGAGAGGCTACCTTAAAAGCCCTTCTCTGATGAGATTGATGACTACCTTATATGCAATCCTAGAGCCTTCATCCAGTAGTTGATAGAAGCAGAAGCAGACACCCACAGCTAAACACTGAGCTGAACCCTGGGACCCAATTGCAGAGAGGGAGGAGTGATGAGCAAAGGGGTCAAGACCAGGCTGGTGAAACCCACAGAAACAGCTGACCTGAGCAAGGGGGAGCTCTTGGACCCCAGACTGATAGCTCGGGAACCAGCATAGGACTGTTCTATACCCCTTGAATGAGGATGTCAGTTTGGAGGTTTTGTTGATCAGTATTTATCCCTAGAATAGCAATGTACTTTGGGATCCCATTCCCCATGGAAGGATACTCTCTCTGCCTAGACACATGGGGGAGAGTCTAGATCCTCCTCCAAATGATATGACAGACTTTGAAGATTCCCCCATGACAGGCTTCACCGTCCTTAGGGAGCAGAAAGGAGATGGGATGGAGGTTGGTGTGGGGCAGGGCAAGAGGGGAAGGTGAGGGAACTTGGATTGACATGTAAATGAAGCTTGTTTCTGATTTAAATAAAAAGGAAAAAGGAAAAAATCAAATCCCAAGAATATAGGTCTCACTTAACTTCTTTGAGCCTAACACCTTTACCAAGTCACTGCCTGAAATGCAGACTCTCAAGTCCCGTCCAGAGACCTGTTTTCATACAGTATTGGACAAACTGCATATGCACCCAAGTGTACACAAGAAGGTAAGGTGACACATTACAGTAGATGGATTTTGATAAACTTCCTGGTTGTGTTTTAATAGTATTGCAAAAATTAGGGTGGGGAGGAAGTCTTACACTAAAAGGAAAAAAAGAAAGAATAGAAAGGAATATAGAACTCCAGTCTTACCTCTGTTTCTGGCCTAGCTCCAGAAGCTTCTGAACATCTGTTTTGGAAGTTTGCTCATCATTTTTCAAAGACTGGAAGAGAAATGAGGGAAAGGGGTCTTATTTAGATAAAACAGGGTCATTCATTTTATTGTGTGTATATACTACCAAGTATTAAGGCACTTGGTTTATTGAACAAAGACATTAAAATTAGTCCCCCCAGCTACTGATAGTGCCAAGGACATACACAAGGGTTCATGATGCACAGTAGGACACGCTCAACTCTTAGTACAAGAACAGCTTTCAGTTGAGGCTTACCATTTAAATGTTGGAGAAAAGAGAAACATCCTGCAAATACCTAGTTTTCTTTTTAAAAGTCTTATTTTTTTATTTTTGGTGTGTATGTGTGTTTGTGTGTGTGTAGTATATGTGTTGTCAAACATGACATTGTGCAGGTGAGTAGGGCAGGGGATAGCTTTGTGGAGTTAGTTCTACTTCAGATTTAACTGTTTCAAACATGAACCTCCAGCCACCAGGCATGCTTGGCAAGCACCTCCACTCACTGAGCCATCTCCTGTACTTCTCAGTCTCTTTATAAATAAATTAAAAAAATACTTTCTCTAGATCCTTTAAATTTTGTGCCTAGCAGTATTTTGAATTAGCTCTGGTAGTCCCAGCAAATGGAAAGGCTCGTAGTAAGCTTGCCTGCATAGGTAAGGGAATAACCTAATTAAAGTTGAAAGCAGTCAAAGGCACGAGCTTGTTCATTCATGTCTATGTCTTATATCTAAGTCATGTATTAGGATACAAAAAGACAGAGGGCCAGTTAATTTTATGCCTTGTCACTATGCATAGGTATTAAGAAAATAATATATGCCATTCCAGTCATTATTACTTATATACTTGCAAATTCAGGATTTAGAGGGCATCAATTAGAACAGAAAAGCCCCAGAAGCTCTTCTTATACAAGGATCTGTCATATAAAACTTTCTTAATAACTTCCTTATTTATGCTCAATAAACTGTTTTATAGAGTAACCTGTCATACTTGATATTAAAAGTTTAAATAGCAATAACAGTTTCCCCAGCTCTTAATATTCTTTGAATAGCTTTGAATGTAGGGAAATGACAGCAGTCTAGCCATTGAGTGTATTGTTCCTTAATGTTTATTTAATGACTGACACCTATCCTCAATTATGCAAAGACTTGTAAAGCATGGGGGCTGCCTGAACAGTTTCAGCCTGGTGTTCGATAGAGAACTTTAACACGGTGATAGCTTCCCCAGAGATACCTAGGAGCTGACAAGGATTAACCGAGAGTCCCTATAGGAAATATCAGGTAAGTATTTAGGAAAAATGGCTTTCTTCTAACAGACAATGAGGACAGTTTGAGGAATTAAATTGGGTTTGATTCCAAGCACCCACATGGAGGTTAAGAACTATCTGTAACTCAATTTTCAAGGGATCTAGCACTCTTTCCTGGCCTCCACAGGTATTGCTTGCACATGAGCACAGGGAAAAAAAGAAAAATGAAAAAAAAAAAAAAAAAAAAAAAAAAAAAAAAAACAAAAAACATTCATTCATGTGAACTTAAAACAGACAAATAGAAATAAGGAAGAAACAAAAAAATCAAAAGGAGAAATTTTTAAGTAAAATGGTTAAATAAATAGATTGTTTGATATATTGAGGAGCTCTGTCTTCTGGATAGGACATACTAGTCATCTTGAAATCAGAGTGACTGTGATTACTTCCAACCTATTTACCCCAAAATTGGGCCTAACAACACCACCTTATTAAAAACAGGACAGGTTTTTCAATGCAGTTCAGCAGCTGATAGAGTGCTTACCTAGCATGTGGAGATCTCCAGGTTCTGGACTCCAGTACTATATTGGGAAATGGGCATGGCAGGAGGCATGCACAATCCGACACCAAGGAGGCATGGAGATCACATGTGTATGTTCATCACTGACTATATAGCAAGCTCAAGGCAGCTGGAAAACTAGAGCCTATCTTAAAACAAACAAAACATGGCAGCCCAGCAGGAGTTGCCTGAGCTTGGTGGCCTGCTTTGGCTCACCCACACTCCCCTAATTAATACCAAGAAAACTCATCAGTTCACCAAGATAAGTTTAGGTGGGATAGTTTCTGTGGAGTGCTGCTAGTTCCCAGTTTCCTATCTGGGGTCAATAGTCATTTTTTTCATGTTTTGTCAGGAAAAATCACATAGCACATAGTTGTATATGTATTTAAGTTTGAAATCTGATCTTACCTTTTTTTTTTTTCTGTGAATGACTTACCCACATCTTGTGAACAACTAAAGTCTTTACTCTTCATTTTATAATGAACATAATAGCATGCTAATTTTGTGGGGTGTTTGCTAAAAGGATTTATTAAGATTAAACAATGAAAAAGTAATTTTGTGTAGTATGTGCACAAAACAAAAAGTCATTTTCAAAGTTGTAACATTTCAAGGAGGATTTTTTCCCCTTTCAAAAATAAAGCTCCATGAAAATTTTTTTAAGCAACGTTTTAGTGTCTAAGGAGATACCTTCACTGAAGAAACAAGAGTGTCCTGGGAACACAGTAATCACTGGTCTCTCCAGGGCATTTGGCCATATGCTGAAGACAAGCTCCTTTTCCAGACGTTCCATGCCCCTGAGGACAGGCAGATGTCTTCAATATTCCTAGCAGGCTTGTTTACCTGTTAATTATCTTCTCTGTAATCTTTGTCTTGGCTTTCCCAAATAAAACAAGATCAATTTGTAGCCTCCTGAATCCTCCTCTTTGCTTTTTAGAATTAGATGCCCAAATGCAAGCACTTTTCCCCATGTGCTTCCTAATCCTCTACCTGTCACCAGCTCCTGTCTGGTGTTGTTAGTATAACTCTTTCATTGCATAGCACAACTTTTGTAATAAGAGCCTAAACAGCAAATTCAAATGCTGGTGCCACTCATTAATTACCTGTGTGCTCTTTCTAATATTTGTATTTGTAGTATAAAAGATTAGTAACTGCAGTAAAGTTTTCATGTGAAAATTCAATAGGAGCTATGGAAAGATAATCCAATATATGAGTTGCACCAAATTCAATGCTCAATTGCTTGACTGCATGACCACCACCATCTTTCATACAGTGCCATCATGGCATCTGTGTAGCATGCAAAACTTGAGGACCAAGATAGCATATAGCCTCAGTTTAGTGATGTGTGGAAAGGCTTTGGAGCAAAATAGCTTATGTTTAAACTCTGGAGTCTTTACTGACTTTCAGAACTACTTTCTTTAGTTAATATTGCTTATGCATAATAAGAAAAATCACAATAAAAGTACCATTTCCTCTATTTATTTAAAATAATTATATCTTGCAATGCCACTAAAGAATTTTGTATACAGTAGATACTCAGTGTATGCAATGTACCATTATTTGTCTCATAAAGTTTTTGTCTTACGGGTTCTCTCTCTCTCTCTCTCTCTCTCTCTGTGTGTGTGTGTGTGTGGTGTATGAGAGAGAGAGAGACAGAGAGAGACAGAGAGAGACAGAGAGAGACAAAGAGAGACAGAGAGAGACAGGGAGAGAGCGAGAGAGAGAGAGAGAGACAGAGACAGAGAGATAGCTTGTTTTCTGGTTTTGTGTTTTTATGGGATTCCTGTGGGTATGGACATGTGTGTATCTGTGTCTATATGTGTTTATTGTGTTTTTGTATTTGGCTCTTTTCCTTCTGCTTATTTGTCTTATTGTAATTGGTTTTGTTTTATCTTATTATGTTTTATTTTATTAATGTCCCTTAGATAAGGTTTGTTTTCTCACAAGAGACAGAAGCGGGGCAGATCCTGGTGGGAGGGGAGGTGGAGGGAACCTGGAGGTGTCAGGGGAGGAGAAACCATAATTAGAATATAATGTATGAAAAACAATCTATTTTCAATAAAATAAAAAGTACTTTCAAGGGAAAAAATAAAGTAATATCCAATATTTTAGAAGATTTTTATCTGAATAGACCTTGCTATTGTTTTGCCTTCTTTTAAACATGACAATCTCCTTTGTAAGGCATGTATTCATTTCTATAAAGAAGCTGCTTGAAGGATTTTCAGAGCTATCCTAGGGAAAATCAAAATTCTCTTCTAAATAGCATTCCTATATATGTTTTAACTCTCAGTCTAATCCTCTCCATCAATTTGTAATATCAAGAGCATAGGGGTCAACTAGATCTTCGAAGCAGGGAGAAACTGATGACTTTGCCAAGTACAGTTTTCTCCCTTTGATGTTTGGAAACTGCAGGTCTCTAGACCATTTCAAAAGATATTTCCTTTCAAAGCTCAAATAATAATAAATATTAACTGGAGTGGTGAAGCCCAGCGATGTAGAGAAAAGCGTTGAAATATGCATATCTGTCCAGTGAGTGACTGGATCCTCTGCTGCCGACAAGATTCGTTTCCAGCTTACCTGAAGGTTGACTTTGATCCCGTCCAGTTCCCTGGATGTCTTTGTCAGCTGCCGCAGGACAGTGCTGCGTTCCTTAAAGACTTCCTTCAGCTGCTTCTCTAGCTCTTCATAGTCCTGTCTAACACAGAAGAAAGGCATGAGAGCCCTCCACACACTTCTACCTGGCCGCCGGCAAAGTCTGCAAGCACTTGTACATTAAAGACTTCATTTCCAGAGAGACCTATCCAGACCCAGGGTCCCCAAGATAGGGTAATTTCTGTGCATGCAATGTAGTTTGCCTGGTATAGCTTAGAAAGTAGATGATTTCTTTAATAGCACTGTATTTTTTTAGGCATTTCAATATCTGTTGCAAGAGAGGGGGTTTGGAGAACTATTTATGTAGGTTTTCATACTGGGGAACACTCTTGAGGGCAGAGCCAGATAGATAGGAGGGATCTTAATTTCATCATTGGTCCATAGAGAAGAAAAACAAATGGGAAATGAATCCCCTTTCAAATAGTGGTCCAAGAACCACTATTGGTTTTAAAGGCAGGCCGGAGAGAGGACAACCATTATGAAAGGCAGTCAATGCATACCGAAATTCTAGCGAACTTCAGACAGAAAGATAAAGTTCACATTCAAGGAAAAGTTCAGCTCAGCATGCAGTAAATATGGGCTTGCTGGTGTGTATATGTGAGCTTGAGGGGTGGGGTTGGGGCAAGAAAACAATAGGTTTTCCGGTTATTTAAAAAGAAAAGAAAAAAACAGACCTATACATAATATGGGCAGTATGCAGTGACTAATCAGAATACATAAGGGAAAAACAATCCAAACGGTACTTCCTAAGAAAAATATTTTAAAATATAAAAGGTTATTATAAAGGTAAATATGAATTAGCCAGACAAACGGAGAAAGCACTTGTAAATTGCCAGTGGCAATAAAGTTATTTTCAGTGAGTAAATGTCAGCTGTGAAGCCCTGATGAAAGAGTGGGAGATATGATTGCTGGCAAGAAAATGTGGGAAGAGAGGGGGCATGCTAGGTTTCTGAATGACATTTAGAACTTGGGGCCTTGTTTAGAGAATAGGAGTGTGATGGGGGAAGTACTTCTGTGCATGTTTATCTTATTGATTGTTGAATAAAGTTCTGTTTGGCCAAGGAGACAGCAAGTTAGACAGGACTAGGAGTCAAAGAGGATTCTGGGAAATGTAGGAGAGAAGTGGTGATCCAGGCAGGAAATGACACGGCAAGGAGACTCATATTTAGGCAAAGGAAACAGGAAGTGTCCCTCTTTTCCCCTCTGCTCTTCCTCCAGTGGTGCCATGCGAGCCACCGGCAAGAGAAGGTGACAGCGAAAGGCATCCTGTATAAGATAAGTCTTATAAAATATATAGGTTTATGATAATTAAGACTGAGCTAACAGATGAGGAATCCTAGTCATTGGCCAAGCAGCATTTGAACCTAATACAAGTTTCTGTGTATTAATTTGGGCCCTAACTCGTGCGGGCAGCTGGTGTAAAGCTCACACGTGGCGGTGGGGCTCGGTGGCTTTTGGCAGAAAGATTTATCTTAACAGGGGTGAACTGAAAATATTCTAGCCAGGCTGAGACAAGGCCAGATTGGGAGTCTGGAATGTTTTCTGTCTCTGAACATTTGGAGTGATGTTGTGGAGAATGGGATGTGAGCACAGAAGCCAGCACACTGTGGTCCAGGCTAGAGTGCCTGCCTACATTAGACTAAATAAACCAGAAAACACCGTGACTGGTTTTTGTACATCATGGGAAATGAAATGAATACGAAATCTGCTTTTGTAAATTATTTTGCTTTGTGTGCTCCTTGGATCTAGACGGCAGTGAGTGATGTGATCATGTTGGAGATTTTAGCAGCTTTTCTAATTAGCCCTTAACCAAGAAAAAAGCCAAGGAGCAGTGCACAGAGAAAGGTGGTTACATTCTGTTATAAACTTGTAGAAAAGGGCACCAAACTTCCTCCATATTGTAAAATGTGAGATATTGGCTTCGCCCACATTTCTGTGTTAAATTGCGTAGTTTATAGAAAGCTTTGACCCCAATGTAAATAACGAGGTTTTCAAAATGAGTAATATCTTTATTCCTGAGAAAATTAATGAATTTCATGTGTGTTCTGTAGAACTGTGTGAGAATAATTTGCACTGTGGAGTTTATGGTGGTTAATAAATTTATTTCATCTAGAGTAGATTTTAGTGACAACTTTTGATTTTGTTTTTTTGCTAAGTGTAGATGGGTGTTTGCTACCCTTCAGCTTCTTGCGTGAAGGAAATTGGAATGGTTTATGGCTAAGCAGCACACTATTCCACAATGGCCCTGACACAGACCCAGTCCTACAATGACTGATCAATAATCATACAGTAACTTTCCCAGGAGTTCGTAGGTCACATTTACAAAATCAATTAACAAAGAATAATAAAGGTTCATCTCTGTCTCACCCAAAAGTACAGTGTCATTTCCTGCCTTTGGTTTCTCTTGTATAATAAACATGTCCCCAGAATATCATACATATTATAAATCAAATTGATTGATAAAACACATTGACAATGTGTTGCATGAGAGATGATATAACTCATTTTGTACTCCAGGCAGTAAGCGCTCCTGGTAACCCTATTTTCCAATAGAAATAACTGAGTCAATAAGGTAATAAATCACTTCCAAGGGCAAGATGCTATTATAGAAGTGGTCTATCAGTCAGCTCCGTGTTCCCTGTCTCAGTTACTGCTCCAAAAATACACTGACATCAGAATAGGAATGCTGACCTGGCTGTAAGTTCAGAGCTAAATGTTCATTGTACATTTGATAAAATATATAGTCTATTGCTTCTCCCTTCTATATCACATGTATAAATATTGAATATTGCTTTGCTTTTCACTTATGATTTTTCATTAAAGTATTATTTCTTTTTGCTATTTTAATATAGTTTACAATCATCTCTCATTATCATATTCAGTATTTCCAACCTCCATGATAAAACACACCTTAGGACTTTAAACAATCTACAGTTTAGTAAATGCAGCAGTAATAATGAATAGGATAATATAATTAGAGAAACAGAGTCAAGAAACTTAATCAATTAATCAGCAACTTCTAGTTTCAAACATTGTTACTCTACAGAATCAAAATGGGCAGAAGTGATTACAGGATGCTGCTCCATTTGCAATAAGTGCTCAGTTTAATACAATAAATGTTTGTTCAAAAGCATAATAAAACAAAAAGGCTCACCCTTCCCCCATGTTCTACCATCAGCTGCCTGTCTCTTGGAGGTCCTATCTGCTGACAGGTGTTTTAGGCATTCTATTCTGTGTGCACCTCAGCCAGCCTTATCATTGTATATTTAGTGTGTTTCCACTTTTCCTTCTCTTACAGAGTAATAAAGTTCAGGTATGTGGCTATACACATATTTCCTTGACTATTTCTATGACAAATGATATTCTCATTGGTAAAGATGCTGCAGTAAAAACTATTAAGTCAATTTTAATATGTGCTAGAGAGCTTGAATTCTCTAAAATATGTTAGTTTTTCCAGGCTCTTGATATTTTTCTACAGTTTCAGATAGAGAGGCTACTATCTTACCCTTTGAAAAAATACATGTGAATGGCACAGGAATGGAATCGGTATTAGTTACTTTACTGTTGCTGTGATAGTGACCATGACATAAAGCAATACAGGGAATAAATGGTTTCTTTTCTTCTTCCATCTTGGAGTACATCACTGACAAGTGATGAGTCAGTGCAGGGACTTAAGGCAGAAACCTGGGAGCAAGAACTGATAATAGAAGCCAGGGAAGAGTGTTGTTTACTGATTTTTCCCCCATGGCTTGCTCAGTCTGCTTTTGTAAGACACCGAAGACATAACCCCAGGGGTAGCATTGCTCACTGTGAACTGGGCCCTCCCTGTCAATCACTGGTTGAGAAAAGGCCCCAATGGCTTGCCCTCAGGCCATTCTTACAGAGGTATTTTCTCAGCAGTGGTTCTCTGTCTCCATAACTCTAGCTTGTGTCACATTGACAAAAACTAGTCAGCACTTATTTACAGCCACTTTCTGAAATACTTTTCAGCTATTTTGTGAGATAATGGCTCCATTTTCATAAATTATTTGCTTCCATTTCCTTGTATCAGTTCTACTCACATTTAAGTAGGATTAGATCTTGCATTTGTTAGGATTGTCACAACAAAGTCCTACAGAATGGGTAATGAAAATACTATGGTTTCCCTCACAATTCTGGAGTCTCGAAATAAAGATACTAGCTAGTTTAGGATTGGCTTCTTCAGAGATTGTGAGGAAATATTCCTTGTATTGGACTTCTCTCAATGAAGAGGGCTCCCTTCTCCCAATTTTTTTGTGCATCTTTTTTTCTGTGATCCTGTGTTCATTTTTTTTCTTTTTATAAGAATCTAGTCCTATTGTACCACACCATAACAAACATTTTAACTTGATTGTTTTTAATAAAATTCTATCTGCAAATGAATTTACTTCTAATATATCAAAGGCTACAATAACTATAAGTACACGAAGAGAGAATCCAATTATAACAGTTTTCTTGTCTGATTCTGAACTCATTATTCAATACAGTTTTATGATAATTGTTTTATGTAGAAAATATCTATTTATCTATCTATCCATCCATCTATCTACCCATTATCTCTCATGTATCATTAAAGAAGCAAACATCTATCATCTCTTTATCTGTCATTTATCAATTTATCTTTTAGCTACCAACTATATGTCTATCTCTATATCTATTATTCATCTATCATAATTATCACCTGTCATCTATCAACCGATTATCAATCTTTCAACTGCTGAAGAAAACCAGACAGATATATTTTTGTATTATTTCTTGATTCATTTATTAAAAGGTCTAGTTCAAAGAAATATCATGATTTAATCATTAAAAGTCTATGTTTTATCCTCATCCTTTCTAAGTTTGCTCCCTCCAACTGTTCTTGTTCTTGTCTTATTAACAATTTTCTGTTTTCGTTTTTTCTCAGTGAATTTTAGAATTATGTTAGTTTTCTATAGACACCTGCTGGGAGTTCATTTGAAACTGCACTCACTCCGTTATATTAAGTACATAGATAATATCTGGGCATCTAACCACTTAGCAACA